GATTGCGGGAATTCCACCTACATAGAGGCTGCAGAGACAAACTTGCATAATGTTGACTAAAACACCAACAGAGCATTGAGTGCAGTGAGGCTGTGCAGGTATGTGACGTGTCGAAAAGCTGACTGTAACAGAAGAGAGCCACAGCAGAGTTCATGAGAAGCACAGAGAGTGACAGAAGCAGAGTTTTAATTGTTTTCAAGTCTCAGTTTTTATTCACAGCAAAGACCTTATTTGCATTATCATGACTTCAGAACCTCATACAGTATTTGCTTCACCTTGTTTTTCACACTGCCCCCTGGTGGCAGTACACAGCTTCAGCATGAACATGTTCAGTTTTTTGCATTTTTGCTCATGTACAGACTTTCACATTTGAGTCATGCTGCATTTCCTCCTTTGAGTTGCTCTACCAGCCCTTTACTGCAACCACCTTCTGCCCTTGCTTATATCTGATTATGCCAAAGGACTTTTCTACTCTATTTGAGCATCCAAAGCGCTTCGTACAAGAACTTTTCCACGCTTAAGTGCTTTCTGTGTAACATTTATACATATTCACAGTCTGATGGATACACCAGAGAGCAACTTGGGGTTCAGCAACTTGTCCAAGGATACTTTGGCTAGAACAGCCAGGGATGAAACCACCAACTATCTGCTCAAAAGTTGTTCCGTTCATCTAGACGTAGCGTTTTCAGTGGGAGAGTTGATTGAACAGAATCAACTTTTGGGCATTTACTTACCTGGATGGAGCATGCATCAAGACACCAACTATCTGATTGGTGGATGACCCGCCTCCTGGTCCGTCTCCTAATCAGGTGACGGAATCGCCCACTGAAGAATATCCCATTTATTTCTTATTTTCTTGGCCTGATATTGCACTTAAAACAACAGTTGCTGGCTTTATTCGTCGTGAAATAGCAAGGAAACCTCATGATGCCATGAGACTGGTCATCAGTCAGTAGTCCAGTTAATTCTGAGCCTCTGTAAATGGTGGCCTATGTGTAAGAGTGTCTGTAAAACCCCATGAATTAAAGCCGAAAAGCTACACTTCAGTCACATCTGGATTGTTTGATTTAAACAACATATCTGTGGCGATGTACCGAGGCAAATGTTCTCTTAGTCTAACAATATATAGACCTAACTGTAGGTCTGTCTACAGCTGCTTATGTTAAGATGGGTTACTTGCTCCCTTTTGCATTTAGAAGCCTAATTTTAGCCACTGTTGATATTTAAAATTCAGACACGGCTGGAGATGATTCAATAAGTTCTGTTTACTGCACATAATGAAAAACTCTCATCTGCTCACAAAAGGTCTCATAGCTCAGGACGGATATAAAGCTCTGGGAAGTGTCCAGATTGACTACAGGCTGATTCGATTTAGCCTTCAGTCGCCGGTGTTATAACCACTTTCTGTCCTGATAGCAAAGAGCAAACACTCAGCTCACAGTCAGTGCAGCAAGTTCAATACGGCTCTCATTTCGGAGATTCAAGTCTTTTGTCAATACTTTGCATCTCCTCCTTTATTTCAAATGACAGCCTCAGCCTCACACACACAGGATAGCAGTGTTTTCTGGAGACGTGCCTCGCCTCTCTTCACAGACACTTTTTTTTCAGCTGTTCTTTACTGCAGGGGTTGCGTTGCTCGAACTTTCTCTTTAAATATAAACCCGAAGGCGTTGTGTTGGATCCAAGTCAGGCGACAAACTTGCTCAGGTCATAGTTCTCACTTTTTTCTTCTTTAGAAACTGGTGTGTGATTTTGGCAGCGTGCTTTGGATCGTTTTCACGCAGCAATATCCCTCCTCTGCCAGGCTTCTGGAAACTGCGAGCCATCTTGTTTGCCAGTATTTTGGTTTATCCACAGGCATTCACGGTGCCGTCTATAAATGTCAACCGTCTGCACTCCTACAAGGCCGTATCATCATCACACCCCCACCTCTGTGCAGTCACCGCGGTGGTCCCAGCCAGGCTGTTCCATCTACCCGAATGTAAACATCTGATCCATTTGTCATGTTCTTTAGCAAAGTTTTAGCCTGCAGTTTGGTGCCAAAGATCAATCAGGTCATTTTTTTTCCTTTTTTCAAAGCTTGACATTATGCGATGTCCTTCGCAAATGTCTGAGCTGTCACACAAATTCAGATTTCCATTGATAACCCCGGTGCCAAGTCTGTAGCACTCGCCCATCTGTTTTCAGAGCTAGACTGTTCAAGTAGTGCAGCACTGTCTGTGGCATTTCAAGAGGACAGCCACAGTGGCTCTGATTAGTGGTGCTGTGGCTCGTTCTGTAGCTCCTGATTTCTACTGCAAATGTTTCTGCTGATTTCCAGCAGGGCACTGACCTCTCTTAATGCTTTTCCATCCTTCTTAAGTCTCACAATTAGATTTTTTAAAATTCCTCTGGCAGTTCTTTTCAAAGTAGAGGAATAATGCAGACATGCACCGCTTATAGAAAGATCTAGTAAAGTACTCATGGGCAGGTATTGTGAGGTATTATCTTAATTAACGGCAATTTGAATGGCCAAAAGAAAAAACCCTGCATACTTCAAATCACTAATAAAATCTGATAACAACTTTTGCCCAAACAGGAGGATTTAAAGGTTTTAAAGGACTTTGTTTTTCCCTGAAGATGATGTTTTCCACCATGTTTGCTGCGAGCGAATCCTGCCGTGACTCAGGATCCTCTGTCTCTCTCTCACAGAAATTAGCAAAAGTTCTGGTCACAGGACGGTTTTGCTGTCCACTTTGGTATATGTATGGTCTGTGTTTTTCATTGCATTACATTAACACTGCACACTAACTCCAGGTATATGCTGTGCACCAAAGGTGTAGATTTCAAGGTGGGTGCAGGAGTATCTAAACTCGTGCAATCATTCTCCGCGCTCTCAATAAAATGATGAAAGAGGCAGAGGACATATTTAGGAAGAACTGCTTTAATGATTTTACTCTGAATGGAATGTCTCGACAGCAGAGGGTCTTTTTAATGCATAAAATATTCATATAAATTACAAAATGTCAGCTGCATAATGCGACTCTCCCATTTCAGCACATCCCAACGGAGTTCTATTGAACTGAGATCTGTGGAGGCGGTCTGAGTGCAGTGAACTCCCTGTGATGTTCCAGAAACCAGATTGAGATGATCTGAGCTTTGTGAAATGATGCATTATCCTATTGGAAGCAGGTATTAGAAGACGGGTACACCGTGGCCATGATCAACAACAATACTCTAAACTTTAAATGATGCCCACTGGGTGCTAAAGGGCCCAAAACGTGCCAGGTAAATATCCCCCATATGATTACACCACCAGCAGCAGCCTGGCGTTTTACTGCAAAACAGGATAAGAGGCATGCTTTCATGGTGTTTACACTAACTCTGAGTGTTGCAGGAGACATTAAGACTCCTGATGTCAGTTTGGAAGATGTGTGAATTGCATCCTGTTTCCTGTTCCAGCTGATGGAGGTGGCACCCAGTGTGGTCCTCTGCTGCTGTAGCCCATCGGCTTCACGGCTTGACATTTGCACTCAGAGATGCTCTTATTCATACCTTGGTTATAACAAATAGTTCTTTGAGTTATTGGTGCTTTCCAATAAGCTTGGTTTGGTCCATATCCTCTGGAATTTCCAGAGACTGTGCACCCAGAGGACTGTTGCTTATTGGACAGTCTTAAAATACTTGACCTCTGACCCGGAGGTTCAGGCCACGGAGATTTGAACTCATGGTGACGACAATATCATGAGCCTTTTATGGCTAGTTGCTGTGTCCAATCTTTGTTTTTACTCACCCTCTGAAAGATATTAAGGCTTTTAAGGTATGTTTCCTAAAGAAAAACTTAAAATCACATATTGGTGACGTGTGAATGTTGCAGAGAGTTGAACAGAAATCAGAATTCTTGCAAGCGTATATAGGCAGGTTATGTCCCCATATATCACAACACTAGTTTGAAATCCGACAGAATGATAACACTGAGTCTCGTGTCTTAATCTGGCAAATAGGAGAATAAATCACGCCTGTGTGTTCACGTGCGATCATGTTACATGAGAAAAGTCGAGAATATTTATATGAAAGCACAACTACATTGTTCTGTGTATATGTCAAACAGTTACCTGCTGGCAGATTTTCATGTTATAGATGTTTCCTCTAAACTCTGATGCAAAAATGACACAAATTGGTGAACAAAAATTCATCCGAGTGCAGGAAATTGTGCCCAGCCCTCAAAATTTCCAAGAGGGACGACCCACAGACCCCAAGCTTAATGTGTCCCCACCCCACCACGTTCCCTCCGTGTGTCAGTCATCACCCCACTCACTCTTCACTCCGGTGGGGCTGAGATACGGACGGGTCCAGAGCAGACAAACAGGCAGCAATCGCTACACCACTCGATTATTTATTTCTCTTATTTAAAACCTTTTTTTTTTATGTGCCCCCAATTTTCCGTCTTGTCGTCTTTCTGCCTACTTTCCTCTCCCAAGGCGGAGACGGTCGCTAAGCAACCCGCACAACACAACACTGCAGCTCTCCAACTTGGCTCAGCGCTCGCCGTGCCCCTGTGGTTTCAGACAATCAAATACACGGGTGCGTGCGAGTGTGCGTGCACGTGCTCGCACAGAAAGCGTGTGTGAAAGGTGAAAGCTATGAATAGTTTCCATCTCATAAGCAAAAGCCAACAGTCCCTTTAGCTTTTAAGAGCTGCCTCTTGACTCGAGTGCGGCATCATCTTGCATTCATTGAGGATTTATTGCAGGGCATCCAACTCTGAACCGCCTTCCACTGAAAACGCAAAAATGAGTGAGGCTGCGAATCTGTGGAAACGTGCTTTTAATTCATTTGAATAAAACCAGCAGACAGCTCCCTGTTGTGCACGGAGGCGTCCATCTCCAGACTTATCTTCAAGGCCAACGCGATTCATAACAGAGTACAAATTTGTGTAGAAACAATAGCTACAAAATTATAGCTCCCATTGCTTGGCAACATATCTGAATGAATGAATAAATCAAGCAACTGACACAGGCTTTAAAAAGTGATCGATTTAATCAGTGTAAAGATCCAAGGCTTTGGTTGGAGCACGCTGAGCTTCTCACCAACCTGCAAAGACACTACAGGAAAGCGCACCCTGGTAACAACGCGAGCATTCGACAAACGGCTGCAAGTATTAATGCAATTAATCAAACACAATGTCTTCTGAGCTGCTAGCACCACTCGCACGGTACAAAAGCACCACAACCAGTAGGAGGAAAACAAAAAGGAAAGAGCACATTTCAAGCAGCAGCTGCTAATTACAAGACTTTCACAGATTGTTTTTGAAGTTACATTCAAAAAAAAGGAGAATCGTCATCACGGCTTTACAAAAATATACATTTGTGGGCATGCACGGAGCAACGCTACCTGTCGCGTCTGGCACTTTAAAAAAGAAGCTAAAACCAGGAGATCCCCGTCACTTTACAAAAGCGAAAACTTGAGAACAAATGGCACTTACTGTAACTATAGCAGTGAAAGATCTCCGGGGAAGCATCGCAGCTACACGCACACGTAAACAAACGCTCCCGCCGACACGGCCGAGAGCCGAGGCGCGATCAGCAGACACGCACGGACACAGTGAGAGGATTTCACTTCCACCACATGTATTCTTATTCAGGAAGTAAGAGTCTCTACTAAAATGAAATAAAGGTAAATGTTTAAGAAGAGGCTGGTTATATTTGATTGTAATGTCCTAACGTCTCCTTAGAAAACACCTCTTATCTCAGCATTAAGGCTTTAAAGAACCTCTTAACTTTTGGCTTTGACATTAACCTTTTTTTTTCCACGTTCTGGTGAAGTTGGCAGTAAACTACAAACAAACAGCCCGCTGACGCTCTATTTGTACAAACCAAAATCAGCTTTACACACAAACATCACATGGCATGTGTAACTCGATTTGTATCAGCTGAGTGCAGTGACAGATATTCAGGCCTCTGCTGCTGTAGTGCTCTGGTCTTGGCTCCCTTCAGCGGCGGGACTAAGCGGTCCCGCCCACCACAGGGTCAGGACGTTGTCCTGCCGGGTGTCTTGCTGTGACATCACAGCGCCGCTCCCCTCCGTGTCAGAGGCCGAGTCACCCTCGCTGTCGCCAGGCCACGGGAACTGCCGCTGGCCGCTGGATGTTGCCAGCAGCGGCATGAAGGGATGGATACTGTAGAAGAAGAAGAGAAGGACGGAGCAGCAGAGGGGGGCAGAGAGAAGATCCAGGAAGGGACACATGAAAAATAATGGCGTGATAAGCTGTGAAAAAAAACTGTTTCTGCTAGCGTGACATGACTGCACTTTCAGCTATTGCACACGCAGCATCACGCTTGAAAAAAGAAAATGCACGATTCATTTCACAGAAAACAACTGAATTACCTCAGGCTTTGCCACATTTTATACATTACTGCTGCACATTTACACCATCTGTGTTTAATTAAAAGTCACTGTTTCATTTTTAGTACATCATTGGCTTCATTCTCTGCAATCACGTATTCACAATTAAAGCTGTTTTTTGTGCCAGAGTATCCAGAATTATTGAGAAGCTGTGGTTTGGTTTTCACTCTCTGCTCTCACAAAGCAGTGACATGCTTGACTAAAGCCAAAGCTGCTCTGTCACTCAATGCTTTGGATCATTTGTTTTGCCTCCTATGATTTTGTGAAAAATGACTGCATGACCCAAACAGCCTGACACAGCAAAACAGCAGCATAACTGAACAACAGCGTAACATAAGTGAATTAGAAAAAGCTGAAACTTTGTTAATTGCTTTTATTCAGTTTTGTTTCTACCGAACAACAACGCAGCTGATCAAGATTAGCTTCACCTTTGTAAAATAACACTTTTCCTCTCGTGTTAATTATTGAGAACGATCCACCTTCAGTCTAATATTTTAAATGTTTTCATTACTGGAATCTAATCTGTCAGTGAGCTGGATTAGATTAGTAATCATACCTGACTCCGTTGGTGCAGTCCCAGTACGCCTGGAACCTAAGCTGAGGCTGCAGTAGTTCTTCATTACCATCAGGAGGCGCTGTGTGGGTGTCCCATACTGACACCACTCCCTCCGTGTCTCCACTCAGCAGGTACCTGCCAGATCTAAACGCACACAAACAGAAACACGAGTGGGAATCGGCTAATACGACGATCCTTGCTGCTATTTAACACAGAAAAACCAGACGAATCACATCAAACTCATACACAACAGGATCACTGATGCAGTTTCCCTGTTACTTACTGATCGAGGTCAAAGTAGATGCGCTGATTAGTGGCCACGTTCCTTTTAAGAGAAAACACAACTCTTCCCGGCTCTCTTAGGTCCCAGCACAGGATTTCTGGATCCTGCACACACACACACAAAAGAATTTCCATGAAATCATTCGTTCCCAAGCCTAGATGCTAACTTTATCCATCACAAATAACTGCCACACAACAAAAGGCAGTCAGAATTTATCTTCACAGCCTGTATATAAAATTTGGACATAGCCACACTAAGGTCATTTTGGGGTTTGAAGCTTTAATATTAACATTTTTGCCAGCGTTAATGTTTTGGAGCCAGAAGTCAGCACGAGAGAGACTTCCAAGTTAGCATGATTAGCAAGCTGCATCAATAGGTTTTGTGTGCTACACGCAGTCACTTTCATGCATAACTGTAACAAGCTGATAATTCTTGATTTCACTACTAGAACATGAGCCATAAGCATCTTGAACAGTCTGCACCTCGCGGCGGGACATGCTCGTCAGATAACTTTGGTTAAAAATGTTCCCAAAGGCACAAACTTGGCTAAGTAGTGCAGTTCAGTAGCTGAAATTAGCAGAAGTGAGAACCAGGAATAAAGCAGTCTCTTCCTCAACTTCAGCACTGACTAATGTCCAAGTTTGAAAAACCCAAAGATCATCAATGATGGAGAAGCTCAGGTTGATCATGATCAAATCACAAGTCACTGGGAAAGCAGCAAATATGCCATTTACCAACATCTGTAGTTTTTCAGCCTCAGGTTTTGCCACTTGATAAAGCTTCAAAAAGCCAAACTTTGTCCAATTTCTGTTCTGAGGGTTGAAAACTCAAACACACATCTCTTCAGAGGACACAGAGTACTTACAATAATCATAGATAAAACAATAAAACAAGAACTATCAGACTTTTGATTGATAGCTATTACTTTCAATTGGAGCTCTATTAAATTTAGGACCTACCATTAATCTTCCTTACACACTGCTTTGATATCATTTCTTCAGATTAGAGCGAACCTGTAGCTGAATTAGCTGGCATACAGTTTGCAGCAGGAGAATAATGTTAGATGCTAGCTTAAATATTTCATTTTAAGTTGCTGACACATGCTGAGAGGACTGAGTATCATGTAAAGCTTTACATCATACTTGTGTATTTATATTGTGCAAAGCAACATCAGTTACCTGCTTAACACCCAAACACAACTGATAGTTTGTGTGTGTTCAGCAGCGATTGTTACCTTCGGGTATCTCTCTGCTTGAAGCTGTGTGCGAGTCTGTTCGTGCGTTACCTTGCGGCCGCCGGTGTACAGGTAGTTGCCGTCGGGGGAGAAGAGCAGATGGGTGAGACCTCCGTGGTGACGGGTCGGCAGCAGAGCCAGCAGGGTGCCGTCCTGGCAGGAGTAGAGGCCAGCGCAGCGGGAGTAAGAGCCACAGGCGTAAACAGATTGGCAAGGGCTGAAGCCAAAGCAGGAGATGATGCCACTCTGGCCTTGCTTTTTCACTGCGGTGAGGACAAGAGAGAGCATTTGGCAGCGCTTTCAGCACTTTATAGTTCACAGGACACAATTTGCAGTCTCGTCGACTCAAAGTTGACTTTTTGGCAGTTCAGACATTCCTGAGTCTGTCCATAAAAGCAACAGATTTCTCAGTGATTACACCAGTGAGCCAACGGATTACAATCTCAAGGTGATGATGGTGTGTGTTAGTTAAAACCTTTGCTGGATCTGCCTCTGCCAATTTAGAAAAAGTCATTCAAGTACATTAAAAAAAAAGAGCTTCCAGTGAAATGATGCCATATGAATGTGAGACGGAGGAAAGAAATGCATCACAGTAAACATTGTGTTCTCCTTGGTTTTTGTCAGAAGTACATAATAAAAACGCTTCTTGTCAGTTTGTTCAAGGAGGCTTCAGCCTGTGAGATGTGACAGCCAGCTGTCAAACAGCAACTCGCTGAAAACAAGAAACAACCGACTTCACATTATCCTCCCTCTCACGTCTGTTTACTGTCTATGGGTTTCAATTTCTCACAATATTTCTTGTGAATCCCAAAACGTTGATTCTGTTCATCTGGACGAAGCGTTTGGTCACTCATGCGAGCGGCTTCTTCAGTCTCAGCTGACTGCACGTTTCCCCAACCTTATAAACCGACCAAGTGTGTGAACTGTGTCTTAATTCCACATATTTCACATACGAGGGTCAGTACTACAGGCAGAAACATGGGTTCCCCAGTTTCACCCATTGTGGCCAATTTGTATATGGAAGAAGTGGAAAAGAGGGTTTTGTTATCCTACCCTGGGACACCACCAAGCCATTGGTTCAGGTATGTAGATGACACCTGAGGGAAAAATCTAATCTCAGGACGTACCACAATTCATGGATCACATTAACTCTGTGGACCGACACACCAAATTCACCAGGGAGGATATAAAAAGTGTTAGCGTTCTTAGACTGTGAGATTTCCATCAGTAATGGGGGACATCTAAAAGCTGACGTGTACCGTAAACCTACACATACGGATCAGTATCTAAGGTTTGACTCTCATCATCCACAGGAGCACAAACTGGGCGTCATCAGGAGGCTACAACACAGAGCGAACACCATCCCCACAGACACAGCGGCCAGGGAGGCAGAAGAACAGCACATCAAGAAGGCCCTGAGTAAATGTGGTTATCCCAGCTGGACCTTTGTCAAAGCTGGGAAGGCGCCTAAAGAAGGTTCCAGCCGATCCAGGACAGAAGGACAACCGCTGCCTAAACAAAAACCTGTAGTGATCCCATGTGTGTCAGGAGTATTGGAGCAATTGAGACGCATTTTCTCTAAACACTGTGGCTTTCAAACCCCAAAGCACGCTGCACCAAAAATTTGTCACCCCAAGGATCGGGTCCCCCGACACAAACAGAGTAATGTAGTGTACGCTGTTAAGTGCCAGGAGGATTTCTACATCTGGGAAACAAAACAACCCTGGGCTAAGTAGTTAGGTGTTCTGTGTTGTCCTAACTCGTCAGGCCAGAACTCCACAGTCTATTTCCACCTACAGGCCAGTGGACACTTTGAATGATGAGGATGTAACATCCTGGACAGGGAGGAACGCTGGTTTGAGCGCGGAGTCAAGGAGGCCATTTACGTGAAAAGGGAAAGACCATCTCTGAATCGAGGAGGGGGCCTAAGGGTACATCTGTCACCATCTTACAATGCTGTGATTGCAGCCATTGCATCAATGACCAGTGGTCATGGATCATTGGTGATGACAATATGCAAATTAATGATTTAGACTGACTGTCCATGGTTTTCCACTGGTGCTAGTTTCAGTTATTATGCAAATACTAGGAGAAACCTGCAGTCAGCTGAGACTGAAGCAGTCATTTGGATGAGTGAACAAACCTCTTCCAGTGAAAACGCTTCATCGAGATGAACAGAACCTTTTAGGATTTACTTACCTGGATGCTCGAGCATGCATCACGACATTTCTTGTGAACACTATTTATTTATAGCTGCAGTTTTGAGTGTCGTTGAAGTTTGCTCACAATCAGCAAAACATCCAACACAGAATGCGTTAAAAATGACGCTGCTGGTAACAGTATCATCAGAAAGTCAGTGTCTCACTGCAAACTGACACTTCTTCAGTCACTCTGACAGCAGGACTTCACCGCTGTGAAGGAACAATGTGTTTATAGCACAAGGGTGTAACCTTAAAGCAGTGTTTCTCAAATGTGGTAACAGTATCCCTGAGGGAACTCCAATTTAATATCCTTGTTTTCAGTACAGTCGTTAACTGCTGTAAAACCTCACACAAGAAGAAAGCAATAAACACAATCACACCGGCTGTGAGCAGGAGGCCAGCTTCTAATATTTTAATGAAAAAAAGACAAACTCAATTTGTGGTTGAAATGTAGCAGCTGAAAGCGCGAAGAAAGAGGTGATACACATATTTGTGTTTGGCCTGATGAAATGAAACGAAAAGATGTTAAATGGGTTTTACGTCACCCGAGGAAAGCTCATCGACAAGCTTCAAGGTGAAAGCCGGTGAGACGTTGACGACTGACCTATTGTGGGTCGCTCCTCACAGTCTCTGCCCGGGCGCTCGGTGTGGAAGACCCTGACCATTTTGTCAAACCCGCAGTAGAGCTGCGCGCCATCTGGAGAGAAGCACAGCGAGTGAGCTGCCGTCAGCTCGTCCAGGTGATTGTAGGGTCGGAAGCTGGCTCGCACCTCCCCGTAAAATGCATCCCACACATGGACGGGGTTGTCACGGCTACTGCTGGCTAGACTGAAGAAGAGGAGGTCGAAATAAATAAATATGAATGAATGATTTAGAAATGAATGAGATGAACAAACTGAGCTAACGGAGGGAACAACTAACATGTACTGCAAAACAAACATACAGCTACATGCTTCGCCTCATTATGAAGACAAGGCCGCAGCACATTCTTATTGATCCGCATCAGGGCCAAAGACTGAGCCATGCCTTTTTAACTCTAATTATTGAGCACTGAACAAACGCTGAAACATCACTGCCGCTCAATTAGACAAAGGAAATTAGCCCCCGCCGCTGCTGCCGTGTTCTGTTATGGCCCCTGTGAGCCGCGGCTTTATTCCAGAGCAGGGAAATGCCCAATTATAATGCTAGACTGCTGCTAGCTTGGAGCCATGCCTAGAACTCAGCGCAACTTAACCGAGCCATAACAGGGGCCCTTATTCCCTCTCTACAGGAGGGGCATCAACAACACACGGCTTTTGGCAGGCAGATAGTTCAAGGAGCGCAGAGGGAGAAACAAAACAGCGATGTGAAAAGAGGGAGAGAAAGGGTAAGCAGGAGACATGGCTCTCTTGCTTTGCTAGATGTTTTCTTTTAATCGTCACAACCGCAGTCTTTTATCTGACTGCTACAGTCAGTCGGTGTACTCTGTCCGACCACCTGACTGCGCCCTGCAGGAGCTCCTGTTTGATAGATGGCAGCGATCTGAAGACAATCGCGAGTGTTTGCTGTCAGTTTCCATCAGCATTTGGATTATAGACACGACTCGAGCGCTTCGCTGCCCGCGAGACTTTTGTTGATGATTTTGGTTTGTCCAGCTCCAGACCCTCACCCACTAACATGGTGAAAGCTGTACGATGTGAGGATGTCGGTGCCAGTTCTGGGCCTTGATCCACTCAACTGCTCGAGGGTCTGACTGAAGGATGATGGGAGTTGGGGGAGTTGGGGCTGAAGGGTAACACACCACGAAAACTGCTGGCAACCTGACCTCGGCTCATTAGCTCAGCCTTACTTCTCTCACCGCAGACGATAAGCAGCCTTCACAGCGACGGCTGGATGCTGCTGATGCTAACTTTCCTTCACAGCACACACACACCAACACTCAGTGATGTCATAATTGCCACATACTTGCTAGAGTGCACCCTTCTAAACACAAAAAAAGGAGAAGGAGATGAGAAGCAAAGCCTCGAGTCAGGGATTCACGAGGCCCTTTAGGTGTTGTCTGGACTCAGGAGTGCTGTTAGCGGGCTGAATCGCACTGTGGGCCTCAAACAGGCGAGCGGATTGCGACGAGGCGGACGAGATGCAGGCCAACTCTTCACTCGTAATGAGAGACATCAGAAAGCTTTTACAGCTTCCCTCCTTGCAGGCAGCCAGCTTCCACAACCGCTGCACATACCTCTGGGATCAAAGAATGAGACACAAGACTACAACAAAATCTTCTGCATTCAGACAGTCTATTAGATACACTGCAGCACAAAGCAAAGCCGACAAATTCACCGGGAACCCGATCCAACCACCCGAGATTAGAAACTGACACAAAACACAACCCGGTGCTTTTTTCAGTGTATACACATTTCACCGTCTCCAAGGTGGACTTGAAGCGAGAGGCTTAGGGAATAGTTTGAAAAAGACCAGGTTCAGCTCACAAGCACGTGTCCGGCTCCAAAGAGTTCATCTTGGGGTACCAGCAGTAGTCGTAGATGGTGTCTCCTTCTGCCATCCGCAGCACTGGACTCTAGCAGAGAATAAAAGAAAAGACAGACAGTCAGTAACAGAGGGACTGAGACCTCCTGCATTAAGAAATGTAGGCCAAAGGCACTGGCTGGATCCATCAGCTCTGAGGCTGACACTAAATAAGTGGCTACCCAGAAAAATTCAATTTCAAAAGCCAGTGGAAGCATGCGAGAAACAGAGCAATCAACAGTCAATCTTCTCCTCTCATTACAAAGGCTGCGAGATTTCAACTAGAGAAAATGGATTATATTTCAATTATTTTTGTTCAGTGATCCCAATCAAACCAGCTTGTAATACAATTAAAAGATCGACTCACTACTTGACATTTCGCCCCGACCAAAACACAAAGTCCATTTTATTCCCACAGATTAATCTTCACTAACGCGTTTTATCAGGCAGACGTCTCAAAGGACTTTTGTTTATTGCAACAAAAAGCAAAACTGACGTTTAGTAATAACCTTCATACACATCATAAACAGGGAAGCTCCAGATTAGACTGAGACTGCTGACCTTTACAAATGAAGGAGTCTTTATAGCTACGTTCATCTTTCAACTGAATTTAAATCCATAAAATAATGAATATTTGCTCTAACATTTGTTTGTTGCTTTCTCATTTCCTGTCGCCTGTCCGGCCCCCGATGGCAAGCTATTTGTGTACTCACCATTTCAGGAAGCAAGTCCCAGTTGTAGCTGTAAATCTCTGGAGGGATGTTGTACACTCGGAGGACATTGTCTGCACTGTTTGTCAGGATACAAGAACCATCAGGAGCCCTAGGTAAGAGGAAGAGGAGGGATGACAGATCATTAAAGACTAGAACAACAAGTACTCGGGCTGGGTTTGTGTGCATGTTAAAGTAACACAAAACACAAACAATACTAAAATATATGCAACTGCACTATAGCATGTAAGCAGCTCGTACACAGACAACTGTATTTATAGCATTAATTAAAGAAAACTGACCTTTTCTGGGTCAGAAAGGTAAAGCAGATGTGTTATAACTGGTACTGGTAGGTTTGAGTCTATTACCCTAATTCTCTCTGGCCTCCAATTAAATATCACATTGATTTTAAAATCCTATAAAATCTTAAATAATATTGCACCTAGCTGTCTTATTTGATCAAAGCTCAGGCTCACAGTGTCGGCCTGCATACTGTTCTGCCCAGACTACATACCAGTACTCTGCCCATTGGAAGCAACCAGTGAGTTCAGGCGTGACATTACTGGGCAGTGTGGTTGTAGCAGCATCTATTGTGCTCATGCAAACAATGATGGAACCTCACATGTTGATCTGATGCCTTTCCGAGAACTCCAAGTCCAGTGGCAAAGCTCAAATATAGCGGCACCCCAGTGCTACCTACCTCTCAGCCCCCCTGCAGATGCACACAGTATCCATTTCAAAGCCTTACGTCGCCTTGTTTTTGTGTCTAAGCCCAGTATGTAACAACCATGAATACGCCCCTCGCAATGTTTTCTTCATATATAAAAAATAATTTACCATTTGCAGCCTTTCAGGTAGTTCTCCGGCAGGTTGGAGTACTCTGTCCAGGAACCAGTCAGCATTTGAGGGTTCTGGGTAAAATCTAAGCTGAGCCTGGAGACAGAGAGACAAGGACGTCCGTGGTCAAAGAGGCGTTCGCAACAAGCTCACGCACTCCACTAAAAGCTAGATCTCACATTTATTAAGAGATGAGCACTTAAAGGTTTATAATTGAAGACAATTTTAAAGCTCATTGCTATTTTAGGCACACATCATCCAATGAAGTCCCTAGCCTCAGTCAAACACGCTCTGTGTATAAAACACAGTGGAAACTTCCAAGTAATAAGCTGCTTCATTTACACACAGTGACACTACAGCTGATTGTTAATTAGATTTCTATTAGTTGACTACATTATTTTTCATCCTGGGTCATTTTCTCCAAATTTTAGCATAATGATGTCTGACAGTCTCAAAATGATGAATCAGTTAATGCTCTGGTGCTTTTAGCTGCCCCACTTAAACACGAGTGTCAATTAAAAAAGCACTTCTCAACATCTAACAACACATCATTGCTAAACACGACACTCTCACTGTCACTGATAAACTTTAAGCTTCAAACACATGTTGACTGCATTGATTGGACTGTTAATTATTTCATCTGTTCACAGTCTCCACCCACTCAGCCAAGTTCTGCACTGCTTACATAGTTGGTGGCTGGAGCCTATCTTGGACTCACATAGGTCTAGAGGTTACAGCCTAGACAGGTTGTGCATCCACCACAGAGAGACTGTAACTCGTTCATGCACAGAATCACCGATTAACCCCACATGCATGCCTCTGGAGTATGGGAGGACCATACCTGACACATACTATACGGCCTGTCACCTTAAATTTGTTTGATGTTTTATGCAAAGGATTTTGGTTACTTGGCAGATAATTTTAAGGTCGTTGCTAGGCAACATGATGTTGTTACAATGTCCAATACAGATAAGAACCTTCAGAGGCCCAAGATGTGCATTTGGTTGCTCAGCGCCGGGTCAAGTAGGAGGAGTTGGGGGACAAACAAACACATAGTCGGAGATTTCATGTATCACAGTATGAAGTAAAGACCCAGTGTTAAACAAACACCGCTCTAAATGCTCCGTTTCAGACAGGTTCTTCTACTCTTGCGACTTGTATGACAGGAAATACCACTGTTATGGTCATTTCAGGGGCGCAGCTCTGGCTGTGAGTACAGAAGCCCCGCCCACCTGTTGTTCACAAGGATAGCTACTGTGAAGCTACCTGCTGGTTTTTGAAGTCCTGCACTAAAGCCACGAGATGAGCGTTTCCACTGTCACCATCTTGGGTGCAACAGGCCAGATGAGATTGTGCCTAGACCGTGAAACTGCACACTCACTGGTTGATTCTTTTGATTGAAAAGTCATTAGCCAATAGTCTAAGGAGCTTAGAAAGAAAAGCATCAGGACTTCTTTAAGTTGCTTGAAGATGTTTCACCTCTCATCCAAGAAGCTTCTTCAGTTCTAGGGTCAAATGGTGGAGAGTCCCAGATTTAAGCCCTGTGGGAGTGTCCCCCCGAGAGGGACAAAAGGACCCCCTATTGATCCTCTACCTAATGACATGAGCCAAGGTGTGAAAATGATTAGACTACGATGACCTGGATGTCTGAGAACCTTCACAGACTCATTAGTCAATGAGCATGCAACTCTAAACCATAAGACCTTTTTTCTCTCTCAATTCAATGCAATCCAAAATAACCAACTGCGCCCATTAACTTCTGCACTGGCTTCCTTTTGTTTTTACCTGAAAAAGACAAATTTACCAGCTATGCAAATTTTAACATAAAAAGGGTGTAAGAAAAATTAAAAAGTAAACTTCATACTTTTTAAAATATTTTTCAGATGATATCTTCTGTGTTCATCTGCTACAATCTCTTCTAGCAGTTTCTGCCTTTTTATGAATGCGCATCTTGTATCTCAACTCTGCCTAAATATTGCAAACTTTCTCTACGTTTAAATCTACAAATAAACCTTTTTTCTTCCACGTACTGTTGTCCGTCACCGGGGCTCTCTGCAGATCCATCACCGTTGTGTTCCTCCTCTGGTTTTGGCCCTTCTTCTCCATTTTGATGGTATTCTTCTTCTTCCCCGATGACTACTACCTCTTTCCCACTATGACCTCCCTCCTCACACTGCAGCAGGTCTCCTGTTCCTGACAGCAGAAGCCAGATTAAACACAGGTCATCTGTAATCTTAATTTATATTAATATATGCATATAATCTTGAATTAAAACAGAAACAATCCTGTACCTTCTGCTGTTTGGGCTGGCATTCCCTGCAGCGAGCTAGGCTGTGTTGGTGTTTCTTCATGCCTCTGACCAGGCTCCACTACCTGATCCTGCCCCACGCCCTCCTCACTCATCCTCAGCCTCTTGGCAGATGGCGAAGCCCCTTCCTCTGAGATCTCCCCTGCACTTCCAGGCAGTAAAGGTGGAGGCTGTTGAGGGGGCTCATTATCTGCTTCGGAGTCCTGCCCTGCACCACCTCCACTTTCACCACCTCCCGCAGAGTCTGACATCTTTGTTTACCTCCCTCTCTCTCTCTCCCGTGAAGCCCTCCACCCAGCTTTCAAGCGCCCGGTGTCCAGCGGTCGCTGTCAGACGTGGGTGAGGTAGGTGCTACTGGGGTAGTGCTTCCTCCTGCAGTGTGGATGTTTGAGTCTGTTGGGGTACGAGGACATCACAGCACCCACCAGCCTAGGAAACATTGAGTCGAGAAAACATGAAGACGAGAAAAGCGAGACCAACAATGAGCTCGTCAAAACAACGGAAGACCATGATAGCACGTTCACGAAAACCAGGGGAAAAAACCCGTTAAGTCAGACTGAAGATAAAGTGAACGTGCAGCTGCTGTGAGAGGCGCACGTCACTGCCTCACAGCACACACCTGTGGCTAGTCGTGACTGCCAGCTGCCTCACCAAACTAGCATACGCGTCTATTTGGTCAAGTTAAAGCTTGAGCGATACATATTACATTCTTTCTACATGTCCACGCACGCCCGGTTGCTATTATACATAATGGATGATTCTGGTAAATAAATCAATTAGCGACATTTGCTTTAGCTTCTTGTTGAGCGTCCCTTCACATCGGAGCACACACTTTAGCCCAAGTTAGCATTAGCCTACGTTAGCAATCTGATGCTATATACCTGTGTTGTGGCTTGCCTGGCCTTTAGTTGTGTTCGCGGTTTGGCCGAAAAGCAAAACCCGTAGAATCAAGAGTTTCACCAAAAGCCGGAGAAAAAGACCGAACGCACAAAACTAATCGCCGTCTTTCTGCTTCGGGACTTTGTTTCCCTTCACCATCTCATTACGAGAAGTTGTAAACACTGCGGGCGGCCATGTGCTTCAAACTATCGCGAGAGTTCATTGGACGAGACGCGCTCAGTGAGTGCTGATTCTATTATGTGCGGATAAGCGTGATTCATAACAAGATGTCTTCTTGGTTTTTTACTCAAACTTCATAGATAACCAAAGAACACACACAGAGTCGGTCACAGCTAAATGCTATTTATTTAGTATTTATTTTGTTCTTCAAACAAAAGCCAAACTATTTACACTTCTTTTCAGTTGTTCTTTTCCAAAACATTTTCATTACATGTATGCTGTTATTTTAACAACATTCAACGACGTATTAAGTGAAGGAGCTGGGCTGACTGGGGTATAACCATGAGTCCATCATTACAGTCGGTGTTACAGTAACCAGCAAAACTGAACCAGGTAATCCTTCCATCTATAGCTTCTATCCTGAAGCAGGCGGGTCAAGCTGCTCATCAACCAGGGTCTTTAGACACAATACTGTGGTTTCTCTGATCATAAAAGCTTTTGTAGTGCAGTAAAATAGACTGATGATTCATCCATCACAGTATAAGCTTTTTAAAAAAATGTGATAACATTTAAAGTAATAATTCAATATCAATTCAACAGTTATGACATACCAATGCCAACTGTGGCTATTTCACTTACCTATAGAAGAAAACTGCACACCACACCCACAGTTGACCAGAAACTTTTAACAAGTCTAAACTGACGGTATTCAATAAACATCAGTTTCCATTTGGATAAAAAACTGCATATGTTTGGTTATAAAGAAGGAAAAAACAAACAAACTATAGAATGACTAAAAACACGAATCTCTTAAATTTAATGAGACATACAGAGTAAAGACGTGGTCCGAGAAGACCTTTCAGATTTCAGACACACCACAGCCTGGTCGCTTCCGTATCGATTCAGTGCCATCACTGATGGTCAGCAGCACTATTACATACACAGATTTTAGTGTCAAACCCCACAAATACTACAAACCATCATGCATGCCTGTTCTTACAAGCACTCCTATAAGACAAGTGTGAATCACTATGTCAAAACTGTAAAAAGATCCAACTCCTAAAACATTTTATTCCCCTGGAGTGTAAAGAAAACAAATCAATTTGAGGACGACCTGCCATTCTGGTTCAGTTTTGCCCAGGACTGTATCCAACAACAGATACGACACAGCAACAAGCACGTGCTCTGAGATGAACCTCTGCATATCACCCAGTAAGCCCAGCTCCAGGCAGCACAGACTTCAGCCCTTTGTCAAGCCTGCACCTTCAGCAGTAATCTAAATAGGAAATCTCAACGAATCCACACTTTATTTGGATCAAAACGAAGAAAAAAAAAGGGCAACAAAAATCCAACCACCAGTAAAATTAGATCAACCAAAAAGCCCTCATTGCTCTATTCTTTAGTTAACTAGTATCTTTAAAGTAGATCACATTTACACTTTTATACAGGACAAGTCTGTCAGCGAACAGACGTCTTGTTAAAACGCTCTTTAGAGTACAGTTAACGAGGTGGTTTCCAACTTAAACTGAGAACGTTTTCATTAAGCCATTTCAGACTGAACTATACAATTTAAGGCATGTTGAACAAAGAAATAAAGCAAAAGCCATTATGGAGAAAACTCAAAAACACTAACTTTTACATTATTTACAAAGCTCAGCGTTTATGCTGCTGGGCGTTGATGCTTGTGTGTCTTTGTGTCGTTTGATATTGTGTATCTCTGGTGTGTGTGTGTGTGTGTGTGCATGTGTGTGTAGACATTGTTCCAGAGGAGAGCCAATGTAACTTTAGCTGAGTGTGTGCATGTAGTGTGTCTGCCTGCTCCTTTGGACTTGAGAATTTATGTGACAAATGATAGTTTTGTGTTTTGTTTTCAAAAGTCCTTTTTTTCCTTGTACAATTCTTTCAGTTCATCCAGTTCCACAGCAGCAGCCTTTTGCGATGGCTGAGATGTAATCCGGCCACGTCCACCAAAACTCATCCCAGCACACTGTCTCTGACATCTGGGCAGGAGAGCGGCTTGTCGGTCCCAATGGCTAGAAGACCTTTAAGACCACCATCCGAGAGTTTTCCGGCTGAGGTGGATTATGAACTTCTGGGCAACGCAGGCCTTTGTATCCTCTTCTTAGATGGAGTGTGGGATTAAATCCTTAACCGAACACTTCCAGCAAAAAGGGGATGAAGAGTTGATAAACCTGCAACTTCATCTGTCCAACGTATAATGCCATTGGCCTGCCCACACTGAGGTCAAAAAAAGTTTCTTAGGGTCTAAGTTCAAAAGGACAGGTTTAGGGTTCACTGGTTCATGGGTTGGCTGTAGATAAGATCCTCCTTGCAGAGGGCAGCAAATAAAGCACAGCCAGACTCCTGTGAAAACACATAGAAAGAGTGCAAGACATAATCAGCAAAACTTGGACACAGGCATTAACAGAGGACATGACTGTATATAAATGATGGAAGTGGCAACTGTTAAAAGTTCTGTTGTGAAGCTTTGAGCTGAATATTTCCACTGTGGTGTTTTTGTGATGAACAAGGGTCAGCGCTTATTGAGACACCAGGACATAGACTCACAGGCTACCCCACTTTTTCATGCTAACCGGCACCAAAATTTGTTAAATGAACATAAAGTTTCAGCAAGACTTGAAATGCCCACAAGACCACAAAGTCTTTCACCAGAAGAACTTTAAATAAGGTCACACTAAAGCTTAGTTTTCTTGTAGCCTTCCAAACGCCCTCTGCTGGACGTTAGCGAGAGAATGCGAGTTACGGCAACGCTACACTGGCTTCACTTTTTATTCTGGCTGCTACATCTAGTTTTATTACAGCCTTACAATGATCATCTACCACAATTTTAATTTGCCACATAGTTAATTATCAATTAATTTAACAAATCCATGAAGGTGCGGAAAGCAACCTGTAACTTTACGAAAGCTTCATTGACCAATAATTTTTGTCATAGATTGTCAGCAACCTTTTTCCTGCTGACGGAAACAAGTCAACTAAATGAAAATGTATGGATACTTCCATCAGCAAATAACAAGATGAAGATATTCTGGAGAGACTAGATCCAATCTGAACCAATTCATTAAATTAAGTAATCTCCTCGTGCAGTGAGGTTAGACGCACAAATTTGATCTTCCCCGGAAACAGCAAGTTCTTTTGTTTTGTTTTTGAGGTGGCGGGAAACGACACAACTCCCATCCTTGTTTCTCATGAAAAAGCAACAATTTTGAGGCTTGAGAGGAAGAGAAGACACATGTACACAGTTCACACGTCAAGGAAAATAAGAGGTTTTGCAAAACGTGTGGAGCGCCGCTCACCAGTAAAAACACGACAAATTCTAGATTTTGGTCAAATCGATTTTAGATTTACTATATTTAGTCAACTAAAAGAATTTAGGCACCTAAATTATGACTAAAATTAAAAGTTTTAGTCAACAGACTAAATTTACTGTGAAAACTAACACTGTAGAAAAGCATTAAACAAAAACAAAAAGGATAAAAACAATTAAAATCCTGGAAGAACATCTTACCAATGCCAAGCACTTGTCCTCCGGTAGTCACTCTGCAGCTCTTGAGGCTGTCATCAGTGTCCATCTCTTTACTGTGCGTGTTGATCAAACACTCTTGGTGGGCTCTTTGTAGCCACTGCAACATCCATTTTGATAAGTAGCTATCAGTCAGTCTTGGAGCCACTGCAGCATGGCCACCACCTCAGTCCATGTGGTTTTACGTTCCTTCCCCGATTACTTCAGGGCTACTGGCAAACTAAACTCTCAGCGAGTCCCATCTCAAACTAGATTTAAAAAACAAAAAAAGATTGGTTTTCTTGAAGAACATTCACTCCATATAGTCAATGAATTTTCCTTCATCCATTTTGCATTTTTTTTCTTTCTACTCTGAAAGGTAATACAAAAATATGGTTATGTACAGGAGGTGGGAGAAGACGAGCTTCTCGAGTCTCTTATTTCAGTTTGGGAATTTCTTTTTCAGTGACTTTGTCAAAGTCGTAGCAATCCTCCTGTTGTAATTGTGCTCCCATCCCCAAAATTGTACCTCACAGCTTGAATGAACAAAAGTGCATAGGTGAGTCGGTGAGGGCAGGGTGCGAGTGCTTTCGAGGGCCGAGGTGAAGACGAGAGCACCGAGCGGATGCGCTCATACCGTCCTCTCAAGTTCCCCCTCCAGGGTTTGCAGCCCTGCACTCGGTTCTCCACAAAACACAGCCCCATCCTTGATTTTTCTACCTCCGCTCCGCGGCTGATCAAGTCTCAGGACCCACGACACAGATCTAGTTAGAGGATCCTGTCCATGTTGTTGTGATGCCTGCCACTCTTCCTCAAAAACAACGAACCAAAATAAACAAAAACGCCACCACACCACTCAATGTCCTTATGGCAGAAGCGCACTTGCAAACCCCACCCGTCTCATGTGGGAACAAAAAAAAGATAAAACAAAAGAATAAAACTGCACCCACAGATATCCATGTGGCTTGTAAACAACCAAAGCTCCAGTATGGAATAGAAAGAGTCCTTTCTTTAGTCACCATTTGTACGACCAGGATTGTAGAGGCAGTGTGTTCAACTGTATCCATCTCGAGTTTGTCTCTCTCCTCCACTGTGTAAATGAAAAAAAAAGAAAGAAAAAAAAAAAGACCCCGCTCAACTCTTTGAAGCTTTTTTCGGTTTTGTTTCCATTTTTGAAATCTTCTGAGGAACAAAAACAAAATCTTGTATCAGCACGGGTTTCTTGTCATTTTTTTTTTTTGGAATACATTCAATATTTTCTTAAGAAAAGAAAAATAATACACACTTCACATGGCAAAAAATGAAAAAAAAAATTAAGGAAAAGAAAATTAAAAACACACAACAAAAATAGCAGCCCCAAGTGCTCATCTTAGTCCAAATACTTTTTAAACTTTGTATATAATGTATATATTTATATATATTTTTCATTTAAAAAAGAAAACTCGTCATTATCAAATTGCAACAACGAATATGTAACACAATATGCTAACATTTCATGCACCGCTCTGTGCACTTGCACATTAAGATGCTGTATTTTTTTAATTGTTTTTTTGTGGTTTTCTGTATTTCAGAGTCAGAAACTCGACACCTTTCATTCACAAGTTCGAGAGCTGACAAAAGGCAACGTGATCACACCCCCAGGAAAAACACGCTGGACTAAGCCTTCCGATGGATCACCCCTAGACTCAACTAGAAATATTTACCATAGAAACGTACATACTTTACATACACTGTGCTGAGCACTGACACGCACCACACTCGCTCTCAAAAAGGAGTTAATGTCTCGATGGCCATGCACCCTATCCAAGTTCTTAGGCACAAATGTGCATTCATACACATACAAGAAAACAACAACAACAAGAAAAATGAGTACCTGTAGTTTTAACTCATTTCTATGAACAGTAAATGAACATGTACTCTAAACACGCACACTGAAAATCTCACTCGCATGCGCACACAGTAATGTCCCTCATGATTCGCCACGTCTGCTTAGTCCCTTTCAGGTCTAGAGACGGCTCCCCATGGGGAGAAGCTCAGGGAAATAAACTAGTGGTGGTCGTCATGTGATGAGAGCAAAGCTAACATTTACAAATATATGCATTTCTGGTTTTCTATCAGGGGATGAAGAGCTGGTGAGAGAAAGGATGTGTTGTGCAATTGCCCTCTCTCTCTCTCATAAACACACACACACACACACGAGCATTCAGTCACACCCATAAAACACACACGTCCTTGTCTGGAAAGGACCACATACATACACACACACACTCTAAACATGAATACAAAATGACTATCCAAACAGAAAAGACAAAAATGGCCTCTTATGTTTCATACATCTTGGTAAGCAACAAAAAACAACTTGTGCAGACTGTATATTACTGACACAACTCAGCCGCCACACATCAGCCACTCCCAGTCGCTCATACACATTCACAAAAATATTCACTTCTAACTAACCCCATTTGTTTTCTTTTTTTTGTCGTTTTTCTTATTTCGTTTTTTTAGGCAAGTGCAAATCTTCAAGTTTTTTTATAATCCATTTTTCAATAGCTTTACTTTTTTATATAAACGTAAAAAACAGAACCAAAAAAAAAAAAAAAATGCTAAACAAGAGAAATATCAACAGTGTTTGTCTTTTGAGAAAGGATTTGCTCTCTGATAAGGTTTCAACTAAAGGTCCCCCTGAATTTGAAAACCTAACGTCCCGCCCGCTCGGCCCTGCTCGCTGTTTTCACCGCCGCCTTCCAGTTCTGCTGCACACGCCGATAATGTGCACGTACACACACCGTATGCGCACTGATTCTGAACACGCACGCATACACACACACGAACAAAAAGAAAAACTATTCAAATCCCATCTCAATAAAGTGCATTAGTTCAGTATAAGGTGCTTAATCTTTTGAGTGCCAGAGGATACCCATCATCCTTTTAACCTCACCGCGCCTCACCCCCCCTCTCCCCTGCTCTAGTGATCAACTGGTGCAGCAGGGAGCCCTTTTTATTTTTTCTATCCAGAGGGAAAGAACGAGTGGGAGGCGCAGAACTGGGCGCCTCCACTCCACACCTCCCCCTCACCATCATGCTTGCCCCCCTTTGTACCCCACAACCCCCAGTTCGGTTCCCCCAGCAGTGCACATTCGTCATCAGGTTTGTCTGATTAAAAGACAGAAGGCCTCAGGTAGCTATTGCTGCTGCGCTGCGTCACATCAGTAATCCTCCACCATCTCCATCTCATTCAGGCTCATACACTCGCCCGTGTTGTGGAATGAGTACCCTGCAGGTAGGAGAGGGCACAGGGAAGAGAGGGGAGAGAGTACACCAAGATTAGAGAAGGATGGCACAAGGGGTTAAAGGCTGGCTTAGACACTGACAGGAGGGAATAAAGAAAACTATATCATAAGAAGAGGTCTTGGCTTCTTTTTGGTTTCTTTGCCGATTCGGATTTTGTCTGAAAAGGTTTTCGGAAAGCGAATAAACAGCTGCAGTGTTAGCATTATAAGGAAGGGCCCACTGCAAATTACACTGTGTCAGAGAAGAGTGAATAAGCTGTGTTTATACTGTTTTACATATCAACAAGTTGGACTCTGAACGCTCCCTGAGACGGAGCATTGGTAGCTAGCTGATTTATTATTGCATCTCTACTCTCGGTAGGTCATTTAAGCAGATCAGTGTTATACAGTGGAAACAACCTGGTTTCACTTCACACATAATCCTACTGCACAAATGACTACATTTTCCACTTTGCGTTTCCATGCTAAGCATTTCCTCTAGTGAGTAACTCATGTACTTGATCTGGGCTCTGAACTAAAAGCTGAAGGTGGGTGTGAATAAAAACGACGGCTACGAAAAGGATCGAAAACTAACTCAAACTAAGCTGTGTAAAAAAAACTGGCAATATGAACATATACTGGGAACTATAACCAACACCAACAGTACTAAATACACTCTAGAAACCTAGTGAACAAAAAAAAAAAAAAACTGGACAGAAGAAAACTAAGAAAAACACTTTTTGGTAAAGCTGTCCATGTACGTGGTGAAGAAGTTCAAAGGAAAAACCTTAAAAGCTCTTGAGGTCGCGTACCTAAGATGCTGGGGTCAGAGTGCAGCATCATGGGCTGTTTCTTCTTCATCTTTCCTCCCTGGTTATCATAGAGACCAGCCTTGCCCATGTGGTTGGCCTGAAACATGGACTGCAGAGTGTTGGGATTCATACCTCGCATTGAATCCTAAAAAACACAAAGCAAAAATGATCACGATCGTAACAGTGCCAGGTTGGACGTGACCCTTTGATGTTTCCGTTTTCTTTTCGAGTTTCAATCCAGGAGACTCCTCATAAAGAAATTAAAGTTTTCACTGTCTATAAAAAGTCTTTAATGCTGTAGTGAAGTTATAGTTGTAGTAAAGGAGAGCACTCATTGATGCTGTGTTAATAACAATCCTGCGTGTATGGCTTAGAGGCATGTCTGCATTTACCTGCAGAGGGAAGTTCATGTTCAATCCAGCCACTTCCTTTGATAACTAGGACACAAAGAGAAGAGGAGGAATTAAAGCCACTCTCCGCCTGTTAATAATACTTTTAAACACATATGTGCAAAGCCTGACCTTCATCCAAAATATTCACTTCCTACAATTTCAATCCAGCTAACCACAGAAGGTTTGTGTGTGAAACCACGTCCATAATGTCTTAAAGAGGACGCGTCATGCTTTTATATATTACGTCGCCTATCAAAATCG